TGAAGAAGCTTCTTCAAGGAAAAAACAAAGAGTGTCCTGTTGTCTGTTGGAAAAAACAACCTTTGGGATTCTCTAGAGCAGTGTTTCTCACCCTGGGCAACTTGAAGATGCCTGGCCTTCAACTCCAAAATTCCCCCAGCCAGGATGCTGGCTGGGGAATTCTAGGAGTTGAAGTCCAGACATCTTCAAGTTGCCAAGGTTGAGAAACACTGCTCTAGAGAATCCCAAAGGTTCTTTTTTCCAACAGACAACAGGACACTCTTTGTTTTTTCCTTGAAGAAGCTTCTTCAGAACTGTAATTTAGTTGGTCTTTTCTGAAAAACAGTGCCTTTTCAATCCACCAGGCAGAAATCACTTCTAACTGGAAATGTTTGGCAATGAATTGTCCAGAGCCCACTCTGAAGAAGATGGATGGTTAAGAAGTGTGAAATATCAATCTATCTTTTTCATATAATGTTTATACAATGCTACTAAGATGTGGCCTTCCAAAGAACCACCTCTCTTTTTCCATCCATTATTCATATATCCCATCCCATTCATGTCCAGCACAAATTGCATAAGACTTGAACTAAATCATCCAGAAAGGGCTAATTTTTTTTTATAATCAAAGATTTGATATAAAAGCAAGAATTAGAACTAAAGATCATAATGGGAATAGGAGATGATAGAATAATAGCCACTAGATAGTCATGGCCAAACTTCAGCGGAATCATTTTGAGAGCTTGGGGTATTTTTAGGTGCGTTGATCTTAAATTAAGGTTTGCCCAGATTTTTCCCCCCTTTGGGAAACCACAGCACCTTTTCTAAGTTGTTTGCCATAATTTCTGAGAGCTGCAGGTAAAGGTTTTAAAGGATCAAATAGTGGCACAATATGTAAGTAAAACTAGGACACCAATTGACTTGATAGGAACTAAGCGTTGGTGAATTGCTACTTAACTCAGCCTATCAGATTTCCCTGTATAATTAACATATCTTAATCAATTGTTCAAAAAACATTTTACAATGGTATTATCAATGTGATAGCGGAGTTTTTAAAAGTAACCATTTTCAGAGAGTTATTAACCAATTTGTGAAAGGAAGTAATTGATGACCTAAAAACTGACTCAAGGAAAGGATGCAGTTCTTGAGGACTATAATGAAACTTATAAGTACAGTGTCAGATATTTTATGGATTCAGTGCCACCTGACTTTCATAGATGATGTCTTTCAACAAATGGATTAACTTAACTTTTTACTTTTAATAAATTTATATGCATAAGTGAAAGGTTTTCTAGAGCAGTGTTTTTCAACCTTTTTTGTGCAAAGGCACACTTTTTTCATGAAAAAAATCACGAGGCACACCACCATTAGAAAATGTTAAAAAAATTTAACTCTGTGCCTATATTTATATATAAAGTAATTCTCCCACGGCACACCTTACACTTATGCATATAAA